ACCGTGACTGTGTCCAGCCAGCTGAAAGTACTCTGTGCAGCCCCATTCTTCAGGGTAATCTTCTCTGTGGTCACCTCAATCCGCAAGTCCATCGGAGAATTGACAATGCCCACTTTGCCAAGGTAAGTCTTTCTGTTCTTAGAGTTAGAGCTGTTTCCCTTGTCACCAATGATCTGCCCATTTACTGTTAAGCCTGCCAGGGGCAAGGGGCAGTAAGAGACCAGCGAGATCTTCTGATCAGCTGGCCGTTAAGGATGTGCCTTCCTCCTCAGCCAGACTTGCTGTGAGGTATCAGAGTGGGGGTCCCCAAAAGAGACCAGAACTTCCCAGTTAACCCAATCTGCTCCTAGACACTCTGGGTCATGCTGGTGGCTGAGGGCCCACAGTGTAGACCTGTCTCTTTACCTGGGCCAGGAAGTATTATTGTTCAGAGAAATAGGATTCCCCAGCCACAGGCTGAGTCCTGCCTGCAGGGCCAGGCTGCCCTTAACGCTAACCATCTCCCCAACACACTGGCCCCTGGGGAACTTGGCTAGCCTGTGGTTTGGACAGCCCTCTCCAGCATGTAATGCCATGTATAAAGATGGGCCCATTGAGGGCAGATGGAGGACCTGGTCCATGTGCCCACACTGGGGGTCTCCAGGCCTTCCCAGGAAGACCCTTGGCGTCAGGCCCACCCTGCAGCCCCCACCTGTAATGGGGTCCTGAATGAGGCGCAGCACTGTGCCTGGTTCTTCATCAATGTTGAAGCAGATGGCATCCTTTTTCCCTCGGACTTGGATGATGAAGTGGGGGTCTCCGTCCACTGAGGGCACATCAGAGAAAGGGCTGATCCTGGGGCCTCACCCTCTGGCCTCTGTGGGATGGACTCCTAGGCAGGCAGGATGCACTGGGCCCTGTGCCCTGAGCCTTGCCCCCGAAGGAGCCGGGGAACTCACCATAATAGTAGGGTGAAGAAAGAGGCTGGTAGCTGGCTGTGGACACAAAGGGAGAGAGGCCTGAACTAAACAAGCAGGCCTGGGGAGGCACAGACCCCACCCAGAGTTTGGTTCATACCCCTCCCCTTCCTGTTTCCTAATGCTCTCAACACCCACCCACCCCCATCTCCTCAGGATCCAACCATCTGCCTGCCCCAGAGAGCTGATTTAGGAAGACTCAGGGGCATGCACAGGGCTGTGCTGGGGCAGGGACTGTGGCCACGGTGTTTACTCACTGTGATAAGCCGTGGCGGCAGTCACTGAAAAAAGAAGCCAAAGGGTAGTTGTGAGCGGGGACCTCTGGTGCCTTATTCCCAACACCTGTGCCTTTTACCTGTCTGAGGGCTAGCAGTGCGCAGTGAATTCCCAGCACTGACAGACAGAGGGTGGGGTGTGAGCCTTAGCTTAGGCTATAGAAATGGGGGCATGCCCAGGAACTTCTTTCTAGGACTGGTGGTGATATGGTGCAATTTTAAGCCAAGGGCGTGGCACTTTGATATGGCTAAAATGCAAGGCATCAGATGGTCAGCTTGTCTGTCATGAATAATGCTCACAGCAATCCTGCCCGCCACTCTTGAACTCCTGACCCATCCCTTGTTGGGGTGGGATGAGGCTTACAGCTGTCCTTGGTAGTAACACACACACACACACACACACACACACACACACACACACCATATGCACATATACACCGGTGATTTGCTGGGGTGTTCTAAGGGGAAAGCTGGATAGAACAACCTGTATTGATGGAGGTGAGGCAGGCAGGGGCTGGGGTAGCTTTGCCTGGTGTTGATGGACTTTCGAGGGGTGAGGCTCCAATTTTATGATGAGAGAAACACAGGGTGCTGTGGATTCCAGCTCAGGCACTGCAACCAGGCTTCCTGGGCCAAAGCCCTGGCTCAGCCACCTGCGGACGGAGTCCTTGCGCACACAGACCTAACCTCTGTGCCTCAGTTTCCTCACAGTAAAATGAGAACCTTACTCAGAGGGTTGCCCTGGACTCATCAAGTGTGATGCCTGATGTGGGACATGCTCCTTTTGCAGGCCACATAATACTCTCCTACTGACTGTCCCTCCTTGGGCAGAGGAAGCCAACTCCAATCAACGGACAAGGGCCCTGGCACTCAGAGAGAGGCAGAGCCAGGCCCAAAGTTGCTCATGAGTGGGCAGCAGAGCAGGGACCTGAGCCCAGGCGA